GAAAATGGAACATGGAGCAACTGCATTTTTTATATAATTCAATAGGAAAAACGTAATAAAAATCTTAGATAGTAAAAAATGCAACAAAACTACATACATAATATTAACAAAAAATAAAATAATTATTGTTTTATATTAACCAGTCATCATGTACCTTTGCTTTAACCGTAAGTGCCAATTACAGTGCCTCAACGCGCAATTTCAGTTTATTGCAATAACAATACGTTGTTACTTAATTGTTTATTAAGCAAAAACTTATTTACAACGCAGTGTGGGCACTTTTGCTGTATTTTTTAATTTTCATTGTAATATATAGATCTGTAATATAAATAACCGAAGGGTTAAAAGCCTACATATTTTCTTCTAATCTACAGTTTTAAGGTAAAGACAACACGAAAGAAGTCTCTTATCTAAAGCAAAACAATTGAAATTGCTTTAGGTTAAGTTGGGATTGGTTTAAACCAAGTTCGATTAGTTCTGATTTTCAATTTTTCGAATATTCCAATTTAGATAAATGTATCTGTACCGAAGGGTTAATGTGTTATGTTACACAATGCTAAAGGTCAATCGTAATACGCATTAGATACATACATATATTTCCTACAACTCATGTAATCAAGAATCAGATGATATGATAACAATACAAACAGTCCTTGTTTTTATTTCTTAAATAATTCTGATGTAAATGACAACAAGTTTTTGAAGTACAGTATATGATCCACATACTATTCAATGAGATTATCTTCAAAAATATGTGATAAGTTTCACAAACAAGAAAACTACACAAACAAAGGGAGGGGGGGGTTAATTGATTAATTATTATGTACATATAATTGCCAAAGAAATTTAAAAACTAAAACGAAGAATTAAGGAAATTTTTTTTTTCGATTTTAATTTGCAAACACATATACGTATGTACCTACATTTGAATTGCAAAAATTAATTACATACATATATTTGCCTAATGAAAAATCAATTTAAATTTGAACGTGACTCACAATGCGCTTGTTCCTTTCTAGAATACCGGTGACGTAGAAGGTCCACAAACTTAAAAGCCCTTGAGAAAATGAATATGTTTGACTACTTAAAAAATACCTTGAAGTCACCGTATTTGTTCCTACATTTTTATGACGTACCTGTACTTCTAACATAGCCATTGAAAATCATATATACGTTAAAAAGGCCCTTAATGTGTTCAAATATTTTTCGAACTTTGTAAGTTTGAAGTATGATCATTCGAATAAATAAATACTCAACCAATTTATTTTGTTTTTACTTAATTTATGTTGTTTTGCCAAGTTGTATTGTATTGTTGTATTTTAATTTGAACTATTTCTAACTAAATAAAAAAATAACTACATATATGTATCACAACGGCCTAGTTACTTACTTACAATTAGAAAATGTGAATAATCTCAAAACGACTAAAATACCCATTTGTTAACTAGATAATTTTTACAGGGCGTTGATAAATACATAATACATAAGAAACAATAAATAGTAGTGATCAGGTGTAATTCGTCTCACCTAATAACATGGATTCTTTTCCCCAAACAGATCCTGACTGCACTTAGGATGGTCAAACAGATACTCCGGTAGACCCAAAATAAACTAACAGTTACTGACAACCAATAAATAAACATTAATGTACTCACCGGGGGTTGCCTTCCCCCTAGTTCAGTTGGACCATAAGATTGTACACGTATCCAATATATTACCAGTTTTGTTTATACGTATTCCTATTCTTCGACAACTAGCTAGAGTCACCCTAAAATAAGTAAGGCTTCCCTAGACGCCCAGCCCCCTTTAGGGACTAGCATCTCAATGAACGGGTGTGGGGTACTTACATGAAGCTACCCTCGCCACCAGAATCATGTCATTCGAGTAGCCCGCAACACCCCTAATTGCGAGTAACCCCACTCGAAGGAACCACGGCTATTTTGGCCGGGCAACAGTGCACCAGGGGTGAAAGCATGCTATTTTTAATTATATTTCTGTATCAATCTCGATACACACACTTCGTTCGCTCACGGGGCGAAACCAACACAGACTGCCTACATATTTCTTATTCTCAGATTATCTGTTTACAGTCTGATTATGTATTACCTATGGGTCTACTCAACCAATAAACAAATAACCTCATTCATTCGAAACCATCAGCCTTTCCAACCAATATATAGAATGTAGAGATAAAGACTTTATTGAACGAAAAGAATATTAAGAAGATATTAGACTAAAAATCGTAAACAATGAATATATAAAAAAACAATGTTATATATATAAAAAAATATTTTACATTTGCATATGAT